CCCTCAGGGCCCCCTTAAACCTTTCCCCCCCCCGCCCCCCCGCCTCACCTTTTGGATTATTGAGTATATTTAAGGCTGAGAGGCAGATTTGTCGTCAGTAAGGGGATTGAGGATGATGGGGAGAAAGGCAGGAAAGTGGGTTTAAGGATTATTACATCAGCCGCTGGATGGTGGGGCTGACTCAATGGGCTGATTGACCTGTTCCTGATCGAGGGACCCCCCACCACCACTGACCCCATCAATCCCCGCAACGATGAGGCGAGGGAATGTGGCACCGGGTTTAATCAGAATTCTTCTCTGTCAGGTTGCACTTTCACGATGGTTTCAGTGACCCCCTGGAGTGGGAGCGGACTGGGACGTTTGCCATTCGGAGCCTCAGCGCCCAGGAGCTGATCGGCCGTGTAGGTGCGGTACAGCGAACCTCCCAGCGGCCCTGCACCGTCGTCCTGGATTCCCTCAGCTCGATCCTGCAGCACAAACCCATCGACTTCCTCTGCCGGACTCTCCAGGGATTTCAGCGCGGAGCGGTCAGAGAAGGTCAGTGACCCTGGGGGGGGAGGTCACAGGTCACAGACCACGGGTCACGACTTTGCCTGCCTGGCATGGGTCACGCGTCAGCGACCCTGCCCAGTGCCAATCGCAAATCACAGCCACCCACCAGGGCTCGATGTGCCATGAGTGATGATGGGGAGCATTGGGGTCAGACTTTTGCCACAGCGTTGGCAGCTGTTGGTGAGGTGGTGGGGGCGGCGGGGCGGGGGTTTGTTGGGGTGGGGCGAGGTGAGTGCCCAGGTCGGGTGCCAGGGGAACAGGATCGATTGAATGACACTGGGATCTTGGCTCTCTCTCTCTCTCCCCCCCCCCCCCCCCCCAACCCCCGCCCCCCACCCCGCCCCGCAACCAGGACTGACGGTTAGGAGACTGCTGGCGTTACTGCATGCCGACCTACACCAGCCGGAGCTGCCGGAGGCCCTGGCACAACTGGGCACCACCGTCATCACCGTAACTCCTTCCCCCGAGGGCACCTGGTCGCGAGAGAGCTCCCTGACCCCCAACGTCGCCAGCATCGTCCACAAGCGGAAATCTGGAAAGGTCCTTCAGCAGGTTCGTCCACCAAAACCGTTTCCCCCCCCC